GGTGTTGGAAGGGTGCGGCTGGCAAGGAGGGCTCTCCGAGGGACGGTGTTTCCTGAGGACGCCCGGGGTTTTGAGGAAGGGGAACTGCCCTGTGGTCGGTCTTACCTGTCCCCGCACAGCCCGTGTGAAACTCAGCTGCGCGGCTGCCTTAGAAGCGTTTGACAGGGGATTGTCACAAAGCAATTAATATTAGCGCCGCGTTAATCGCTAGCGGTGGGTGGGATGGGAGTATGGCTGTAGCTCTAACTTGTCCTTCCTGGTCTGACCCAGGGCGAGGCAGGACCGGTCTTTCACCTGTATTTGTCCTGGTGTGGCATCTTGCAGTTTTTTCCCTGCTGAGACTTAAGACCAATTCCCGCCTATGCCATCCCAGGTGTTTTAAGTAGGTTTTGAGCACCTGGTATTTCTCATGTTTTGCAGAACCTGTTCCCAAAAAGGATTTTAAGCAGCGGCTTTATCGCAAGTGAAGTTAGACAGACTTACAGGAAAAGAACAGAACAAGCGTGTATTTTCTTGTACCACCCTGATCTTCCCATGTGTCTGAGGGACTCTTATTTCAGCTTGTATCACCATTGTAAAAAGGTAGGCTTTATTATCAATAAAAATAATGCTAGAGTTGAAAGATAGCTTATACCTGTTAGAGTGATCTTGCCTCAACTACTGTAAGATTCTACTGTACGCTTGTCTTTTTTTGGATTTCTGAATAGCTATTTAAATCTTCTTCACCTTGAACAGAATACAAACATAATACGGTTCTGATGCAAAACACACACTCGAATCCACAAAGTGAATTAATTTTGTGCTGTGTTCAAAGTAAGACACAGCAGCTCAAAAGAGCTCTGACTAAAAGACAAATCCCAAGTAATGTCCAAACCATATAGTTTTTATGGCACATCTCTTTCTGACTGGATGTGAAAAGTCAGGATTTATAGTATGGTAGTGCCAGTGAAGTGCTGCCAAGTAAAGACAATTGTACAAGAAATGCATCCCTGTACTAGTAGGGTGCTCCTGCTGTAAGACAGGACGTTGTAAGAAACAGGCAAAGGATGTGAGCTCTTAATCTCATTTTCCATTTCCAAGTATCTGGATCTGTATCAGGAGCTCATTGCAAGTGAAACATGTCCTCATGGTGAGTGATTTTCTAGTGTCAGCAACAGCTTTGTGTGGTGATACATGAAAATCAAGCATTTCAACTGTTCTGTTGTCAGAAAAAAATAGGAAAAAAGACTCCATAGTCACATGATTTTATAATCTCTCAACCATTTTTAACAGTTGCTTTTGAATTTTTTTTTTTGGTTGGATTTTTGCACCATTGAAACGTAGATAACTGCCCTTTGGCTGTTGGAGGCTGTTTATAGAGAGAAGGTTTTAGAAGTGAATGGTCTTTGCCTTTTTGTATTCAACTTTTAACAGACAGAGCAGAAAATGGTTTTAAGTATAAAGGTAGAGATAAATACATCCAGGTCATAGAAGAAAAGTCTACTAGTACGAGTCTTGGCATGGATTTATATCACCTTCAAAATCATCAGAAGCACGTCCTAAATGACTAAGATCATTGGAATCTCTGACCTTGATCTTAAAGGACATCAAGCAGCGATTGAAACAGGACTAAATACTGGACATTGAACACTAATGCAGTGTTAAAGCTAGAACCAGTAGGGACCTGAGCTTTTAAAAGAGCTATTGAGGTGTGTTTACATTGCTGTGGCTGGCCACCTCCTTGTTACCTCATGTTAGGGATCATTTAGAATTTGTTGGGGTATCACAGGACGATCCTGCTTTCTCCTGGGTGTATATAATGAGTGCTATGGCTACATTTAAGGGTATTGTGTAAATCGGGGATAGATTTTGTACTGTTGCCATCAGTGAGCACGTGCTGCTCAATGTTGCAGTAGGGTTAGGAGCAAGGTTTATTCAGGATTTTTTTTGAAGGAAATGAAGGTTAGACCTGATGCTGTCACAGTCACTTTGTTATACATAGCTCTCTGTTTGGCAAAACCAGCCCCTCTAGTCTTGAGAATAATTTGGGGTTGGAATTTGTTTGGTTGCTGGGTGGAGAGCCTGGATTTTTATTTGGTATGTGACAAGCTGCTGAGCTAAGTTTAGGGCTGCTGTGGTTAGCAGCTACCTTCCTACTACTAATTTTGGTCTGGCAGGGTTGCTTCTCTAGAGCTGGGCTTCAGGGCAGAGTTAGGATGAAGAGTTTCGTAAGTGTTGGCCTGTGCAATCAAGTTTGCACTGGATTTAAAAGGAGTTGTGTGGCTAATTTAAAGGTGGTTGTCGTCCGCTGTCGTCTTCATCTGCCTTGTTCTGTATCCAGTTGAAAGTCCTTGGCTAGAATATGGTTTGATTTTAGGTCATTGCAGATTTTAAGGTGTCACGGGGTGGAGACCGACACAGAGTGTGCATCGTGTTCTGTTACTTGTTTTGTGACTGCTATCTGTAATTTAGATGAGCAGATACGTAGGGCTATCAAGCTGTTGAGTTTTGTTTAGAACTTCGGCTACTATCCAGTTTTCTGCTTCATTCCATGTGAAATAGAGATTATTTTTTTCTTTGAACTAGTGCGTATTTAGAAGCAGCATTATGGTTAGGCGTCCTCCTGCAACGTCCCATGGACCCGAGTGTTGGTTGTTTACGTTGATCCAGGCAGAGGGTTGTGGAGAGAGATTTCTTAGGTGTTCATAATTTGGTGTTGCTTGTGGGAGAGTTATCTGGGATGGCTTAACATCAATCAGACTTGCTGATGAAGTTCAACTTCATATCAGGGTGAAGGTTGAGGTATGAGACGACAGATCCCAAGGACCAAATTTGTTGTTAGGTCATGTTTAGAGCCAGCGCTCGCAGAAGCCTTCCAGACTTGTTTTAGAGCTGGGTTTAGACTTGCAGTTGCCTGCACATTATGTTGTTTTTCTTGCCCTCTTATCATAATTTCTGGCTGTTCTGACCTTTCCCAGCATTTCCAAGGAGCAGTGAGACGATAACAAGTCATACAGAGAACACCCCCCACCCCCATCATCCTGGGGTTGTACTATTTTATTAGCTTAGTTTCTTGAAAAATTTATATTTGTGTGCTTAGTATTCTGTCCTTCAAATAGGACTTGGACCTGTAGCCAATTTTGACTAAGTGTAGTAGAAACTGCATTTTCTGGCTTTATGTAAATAGCCAGCTGCACAGAGAAGAGCTTTTTAGTTAAAGGCACACTGAGGTGTGCTGGTTTTGGCTGGGATAGAGTGCCAAAACCAGCACATGAGGACAGAGCTCAGTCTTTCTGGGATGTTCATCGGTGGGACAATGTTTCTGTGATTTTCAAAGTTTTATTTTACTCAGGCAGAAGCAATGAACTGCTGTCATCACGAAGCTTTTTTGATAGTCAGCTGTTGTACAAGGTGCTTGTGATTCTGGGCAGATCACGTCACCTCTCTGTCTTTCGATTTTTCTTCCCCGACTATTCCTAGTCTAGTGCAGCTAGATGAGAAACTTTTTTACTAGCTGTTTGTGCGGCGTCTTGCCAAATGGAGTCCTAATATCAAGTGGACCTTGCTAGCTCTAGGGCAGTGTGAACAGCATGAACAACCTTCACAGCATAAATACTGTCAGTGGACACCTAATCAGGTGATTAGGACAAAACGGGGCTTCTGGGAATGTTTGCATCTCTGTCCGTTTTACAAGGGGAAGAATGCCTGGGACGTGCATCTTTGCTACTTACTGCACTTACGTCAGGTTGGATACGAATGTTAGTTTCATGTAGGGTCTTTTTTTCTTTTTTCCTGGAGATAACTTGCCAAGTACTCTCAAGGCAGTAGTGGTGACAGCATAATGAATGATTGCCAAAGAGAGGGTGACATCATTTCACCTAATGGCCTTAGATAAGTTATTAAGTACCATTATTTAATCATGCTCCGATAAGAGCTAGTAGCTTCTAAACATTTAATAAATATAATACTCATGCCTTCCCAGCATAAAATATTTGGCACAGCAAGTATATTTTAGTTTTTCAAAGAAGATGAAAGTCTCTGCCTAGTGCTGAGTGTGTGATTTTAGGGTTTTTTTTCTCTTCTATCTAGAGTTTCATCCCGGAGGTTATTGCTATTGGTGTCTGAGCGCTGTGCCCTGGTTAGAGCCCTGCAGGAGCTGCCAGCCCTGTGCCCACCTTCATGGCAGGGATGGCTGTGTTGCTGCTTCCACCTTCTGGAGAAGACAGTGAATGAGGGATCCTGGTTTTTATGGATTTTTCTGGGGACTGTTATACTTGATTTCTTTTGATTTGCTTTGTTTCTCTCCTGCTCTGGGTATATCCAATGGACTATGTATTGCGAAAACTTTTGAACCTTTTCTCACACTCCCTCCATTTTCTGTTAGTATTTTCTGAGATTTTTTTTCTCCCTTATGTTCCTTTAAAAAATATAATCAGAGTGTCATGGTAAGCAGTTGAAAAGGCTGCTCACCCACTGAAGAAGGTTGCAAAAATAAGATTGTGTACTGTTGTAGGGTGTTGGGAAATACACAAAGTGCCATACAAATTTATCTTCTTACATGTACTAGTAGGTAATGTCATGCAGCACTGAAGTGTGAGGATTAGGTAGCAGCATAAAATACAATGGTGCACCGTGGTTTGGAAGAGAAGAAAAATACCTTATTTATGGTGATTTTATTGTGCTAAGACACTAGGGTAAACATTGCTAATCCTGTTAAGAATTTGCTATAAGGGATTCCTATGGATTCAGACCTTTTTTTTGAAGACAGTACTTTAAGGGTAGCTACCTCGTCAAAGCACTCTTACAAACGTGTTGTGGCATGGGAAATGTCAGCTTGAAGTTATGGGCTGGTCAGCTCTAGCAGTGAAAATGGAGATGATTTATTTCATGCTTTCTTGGCAGCCCCTGACTCTTGAGAGGTGCTATAGCTGGGGCATGCGAAAACCTACAATTTGCATACAGGCAGATCAATTGTATGTATCAGTGGGCCAGGAGCACTGATCTGCTCCTGTACAGAGTAACCAGATGCTGCAGAGACACTGCGTAGGTACTGAGGAATGGCTCAGTGCGTGGTCCATTTGTCTGCCCAGGGCTATGCAAGTTCCCACTGTGACCTGGATCTACATAATCCGTAAACATCAGTTGAATCACCAGTGGTTTTTGAAGCAGATAAGAGTTGCTTAGAAGATCCCCATCCAATTATTGTAACATTCCACAGTAATATTGTATGCAAAATGAAATTTAAGATATCAGATAACGTAAACATACTTAACTGTTACTGATCTTTACCTGGACTGAATCAAAAAAAACAAACAAATTTTGCCTTTTTTTTCTGTAAGTGCAATGAATGTGATCTGATCTCTGTTTCCAAAATCTACAATATTTTAAAAAATCTTGTAGTACTTGTGGACTGATTTACCAGTTTTGGTTTTCCCAGACATTAATCCTCTCCTTGCTGTCAAGCAAAAGTTTACATTTTTCCTTGCCCAGTGTCAAGTTGGCAGAGAAATTCCTGGTCATAGGCTAGAAAAAGAATTAGGGACAGATAAGCTGCTGAATAACAGTCTGTGGGATTGGGACTGTTTCCACTGTTAATTCTTAGCACTTCTGCTGTCCTTCTCTTCAAATGTTAACAGGTAAGGATGCACAGACACACACAGGCAAGCACATGGCAGTGTAAGTTAGTGAGCTTGGTCTGTAGGGTGCAGGCTGAAGTTCTTTGGTGAAAGAATGAGTATTTCCATGTGGGAGAGTACCTGGGGAGATGCTTCCACCCTCTCCCTCTAGATGACAGCAGAACACCAGCCGTGCTGTAAGGGATTGTTTTCTGAATGTATTCCAAAAGAATATTGTTATTCGTTATCCTGCTTGATTACTTTTTAAAGAGGTTGGAATTACTGTTGTAATATATCGCCCTGCTTCAGAACAAACTCGGCATACTTTGGACAGCTGATAAAAAGAAAAAGCACCAGGAGTTTAAACATGTTCTTTTATGAATATCTGCTTCCGCAAACACAAAACATGTTCTCACTTGTGATAAATATCTCTGTATTTCACAGGTAAAGTGTGGATCAGATGCTTCTTGACAAGCAAGATCCTGAACCTTCAGAGGCATCCTTATTTCTAACACCACGTGGATGAAGTTTTCTGGAGACCGCTGTGGAGGAGTACGTCTGTGCCAGTGCAGTGCCTGCCGAGTGAGCATGGTGGTTTGATTTTTGCATCCTTCCACAAAGAGGCTGATAAAGCCAGTGGTGCGATGTGAGCTCCGCGCCTTGGGCTGCATCGTCTCCCAGCAGGCCCGTTAAATGCCTCTCGCCTCTGGCCAGGGACAAGTCTCAAAAGCAGGCTCCCTTCTGTCACCGAGGCGGATCAGGCTGAAGCGCCTCGTCCTGCTGCTCTGGGTTTTGCCACCCACCTGCTTCTGTTGCCCAGGACAGGGCTCTCGGTGACTGCTTCTCTAAATAGCATTTCTTGCACCAAAGACAAGGTGGTCCCTCTCTGTTCCCTCATAGCCAGCAAGGCCTTTGCCTTTGTGCGTTCTGGCCCTTAGAGAGCTGCTTTTTTGTCGGTGTGGAGCCCTTTTCGGGGATCAGCTCCATTTACCAGAGTGTTTCTGCTGGGAGACTCCATGAGACTCAGTGACTGATTTGCAAATGCTGAGTTAGAGACAGAGCAGCGCTTCTGCCATGACACCCAGGGGATGTACCCACCATACACTGTCGGCTATTTTGGACTTCCTTTGCTTGAACTCGGTCCTGTAGAAAGAAGAAAAACATTGACAAGTGAATGGAGAAGGTTTTTAGGAATACAGATAACAATTTCCTCTTGGGAAGAACAGACAGAAAAAAATAACACAAGCTCTTCAAAAAACTTACTGAAGTGCTCTCTGCACTTCCCCCAAGTGATCTTCCTCTCACAGAAACAGGACACGTTGAACTGTGAAACAGTGAGTAGATTATTAATTTTGGGGTTTTTTTTTGATGGGTTGGCTGTTGTTAACTTTTAAAATTGTTTCAGAGATGTCTTGGTATCCCAGTCACACTGCCAAAGGTTTATGTCTTTGGAGTTGGAGGTACAAACAGGATTTGCTGTTGGGTGCAAACAGGAAGAGGGGGAGGAACAACCAGGCGGAGCAGAGCTGGGCAGCTTTCTAACATGGCTTTACACGTGGGTGGGAGAGTTTCCGTTTAGCTCCCTGGTTGCTCTCCTCACTGCCGCAGTCCCAAGCAGCGCTGTGAGAGCCGGCTCCGCTGCTTGTGTCGACCCACAGTAAGGAAAATACAGGAAACATCCAAACTGGTTATTAGTTGTGTTTACAAGAATGACAGGCAGCTCTGAGTTTTGAGCTCGGGGAATGGGGTTGACGTGAATTTTTTTCTGCTCTTAGACTTGGATTATGTAGAAGCCAGAAAATGGGCTTCAAGATAACTTTACCTTACTGATTAAAGTACTGCTTTTTAGGGTTTACTTTCTAAATTGGTAGGTGCAGCTACAATAGAAAAATCTAGCGGGGATAATGTGGTAATTCAGTTTTTCTAGCAGTATACATCGGTTTTAAGAACTAGCAATAGGAATTGCTTTCAAGGAAAGGTTTTATACTTGTCTACTTCCTTTGAAAATATTGTGACTTACTCAAATGAAAGTTGCCCTTTTGAATAACTGCTATTTTACCTGTTCTTGGGCTGCAGCAGCTGTTTACAAGACACCTGAGTTCTGGGTGGGAATACATGGGAGGATTTTTTTATCCAAGCTGGAATTTTTGAAGCACAGCAGAATAAAGACATTAGCTCTCGTAACTTGAAAAATATTTCAGCGTGTATAAATAATATATCCAAGGAAGAGTGGTTGTAGCTTAGCACAAATATCAGGAAAAAGTGAGGTAAGAGAAGCACTGATTCAAATAGAGGGAAAAAAGACAACATAACAAAGTTGGTCATTGCTAAAATAAACTTTGGTGAAACTATAAAGTGGTAGTGGGGGAAAAAAAAAAAGAACTGCACGTGAAGCACTGGTACTTACCATATCTGTTGATAAATAAAAATCCTGTGTTTTGAATCCTGATGCTAAATCTCTTACATCCCACTTGTGAGAGGGTAGAACGTGATCGGGCAAGAGAGAGGCACTACCTACCCTTGGCTTGGGGGATCAGTGCTTCAGGATGGTTCCTCAGCCCAGATGAACCTGGGCTCTTGAGGGTTACTTCAAGTTGGAGCAAGTGGGGGATGTGGGAGTGAAACTTACTTATTTGTTTGGCTCCCAGGAAGGGCACTTTTAAAGAATGGGAGGCTCTGACATGTTGCCTTGGCTTGAAGGCAACACATGAGCCCTGTGAGAAGTCAGGAGAGGCTGGGGTGAGAACTGGTTGGAGAAATGAGTTGTGATAAACCTGCATCTCACAGTGGTGAAAGGTTCCAGAGACTGAGGTTGGTACGAGGTTGCGGTTCCAGGTAGAGCCAGGTTGGAGCATCCCTTGATCATTGACCCTCAGGAGAGTCAAATCCTGTAACTGGCGGATCTTCTGCTGAGCTTTGTAGCTTTCTTAGTTAGGTGATGCAGCAATTATGAGTTACAATGTTGCAGAGTGTAATTTGAGGTATACTTTCAAAATCTCATTTTATGTCCTGTTGCTTTTGATAATCTCATAGTTAAGCTGGAACAATCTTTATTTCCAGTTACAGTATCTTTTTTGTCCTCCTCTTTGAAAGATCATCTTCAAGACTATATAAATAGCTAATCATGAATCTCTTGTTTTGCTCCACTTTGTTTCTGTTTGTGGTAATATCAAAGACCCCATTCAAGGTCTTTTAGAACTGTGTTGTACACACACAAGGGACTGTATGATCTCTGCCCCAGTTTGGAATAATGTGAGTCAAAGACTGAAGGTTCCTGTGCATTTTAAATGAAGTATCATCTGCGCCTGTTCACTAGGCCTTCCAGAAAATGCAGGAAAAAACTGGCTGGAAATAGATATGAAAAACGAAGTTCAAACAAAGAAACTACTAGAATGTGAAAATAAAAGAGATTTTCAAAGTGAAAGGTGATGCCATCCCAGCTTTTTCATTTGCAGTTTGCCTCTATTGTGAGATTTGAGTCACAGGGCTCAGCCAAGCTCCAGACAGGCACGGCAGGAATTTGCAACGTCCACCGAGGGTGTGATTTGCGAGCAATGGTGTAGGGGAAAGCACAAACTTGCATGAAAGGACTGCAAGCCAGTAGTGGTGAGGATGGCACAGGCCACCTTATGCACGTACGAAATGAAGGTTCTTATGACATCAGATAACACAAATTTACCATTATAAAACATTACTTTAATATATGCTGAAAGTTTGTTCCAAAACAACAAAATGTTTGAGTTAATTTCTCAGGCTAAACATTGTAGATGGTAAAGACAACACAAAGATCTAGATCTTTAACAAAGAACCAGAACTCAACTCTGTAGCTTTTATTTCCATTAATACTGGAAGCATTAAAAAAAAATATGAACAGGACAGGGACTCTTTTACACTGTATAGCACCTTTCACTTTCTGAGATCTGTGGAGGATTTTACATATTGTATCTATACAGCTACAGCAGTATACAGCAGCAGAAACATGCAGCTACTGGAACATAAACCTATAGGTCTCTGAGTGGGAAGTGTTTGATTGGGACAAACATCCGTTTGAATTTTAATGGCAAGCAAAAGCTGCTGAAGCACTGGGATTCTCAGCATCTCTTATTATTTTCGTAGCAGAAATTAGCACCCAAAAGTACATTTGAAAAATGTTGGCATAACTGTCCGCTCCTAGTGGATGGGTTTTCAGTTTTTCAAGTCTCAGCAACATACTCATTAAATTGTTTCATTGCTTGGCTCTTTGCCTCTCTATGAGGTAAATCATCAGCCTGCTAAATCTGTAGATGGAACTGAGCAATCATCTCTGCTTAAAACCAATTGGGAAGCAAATGCTAATGTGCTCCCCTCTTCTGTGGGCTACTGCTGAACTGCAAACTCCTCACTGCCTCTAAATTGGTATTGTGGGAGCACTCGGGAGCCTCAGTTGTGGAAAATATCATACAAAGTCAGAACAAAACAATTATCCCTGCCCTAAGGATCATGCACTGTCCTTTTTTACAATTAATCTTCATGTTTCTTTTTCCTGAACTGAAGTTGGGCTGAGCAGTTGAAGTGACCGGAGTTATTTAATGGAGTTAGAGCTACACAGCACCTTGCCACTGAGCCCAAGGAGTCCTTTCTCTCACACCTTCCAGTAATGCTGTCTTTTTGGATGATACCTTTATATGGACATTAGAAGAAACTGAAACCCCAGCTTCACTTATGTGAATAAAAGCAGAGTCTGTCTTGCATAGCTAGATGCATCTTGGATCATGGCTCTCAGCAGACTGTATCCATGAGACATACTAGAGGCCGACAGCTGGCAAGGCAGCCTCTCACTGTGTGAAATGTACGCTAGTATGTTTGTAGGTGATTATAAAAACAACTTTTCAAGATTAGTGTCCAGGTTTGCTGCCGCTTAGCACATGAACAAGTGTCCAAAAGCTTTTTTTCCCGTTTGACTGCCTTCATTATTAGTTTTTCTTTCTTAGTGTTTTTCTCTCCCTTAGAAACATAAGGACTATGAAGTCTGATGTTTCATAGTTTTGCTGAAGGACATTTTGAGAGTCTCATGAAAACATACCAAGGTGATAGAGACAGTAAACTTTGAATGTGTAGAACAATCACCTAGACCTAATTAGTGGTTTGTAGTTTTAACGGATAATCAAATGCTGGGTTCTTATAAGAGACTAAGTGTGTACCGTATTGCTCACTCTGAGGCTTTTTGTATACCTTACACAGACATACAGACAAAACGATAGTGGAAATGAGAAAGAGTCCGCTTGCTGCGGACAGAGCAGCAAAGACAGACTTGTAGCTGGGCTTTGTTTTAAATCTGGTGCACGAATTACCTAGAATTCCCTGTCTTGCTGTCTGGCTTGACCCTGCTTTGTTCGAAGCAGTCACGCAAACGTGGTAAGTGGTGTATGGTAATAGATTATACAGAGTGTACTGCCTTGCTGTGGAATAAATATTGTCCAGCACAAACTGTCTGTCCTCGTTGCCTTGGGCATGAAGTGTCAGCTCGTAGGTGTGAACAACTGAATTTGGGGCGCACCAGCGTATCTGTGCAGAGCTGTCTGTAACTTCAGACACCTCTCTGAGCCTGGGTGGATCTGGAATCTCATTTTCCCTCGACATGCCAGGACATAAACATTGGGATGCACTCTGCAGTTCCCGGCACGGCTTCTGA